TTTGACAAAAATTCAACACCCACTTATGATAAAAATTCTCAAAGTGAGTAGAGAGGAAACACATGTCAACATAATAAAGGCCATATATGACAGGCCCACAGCTAATATCATACTCAACACTGAAAAGTTGAAAGCTTTCCCACTAAGATCAGGAACAAAACAAGGATGCTTATTTCTCTTGCCACTTTTATTAAACATAATATTGGAAGTCCAAGCTGGAACAATTAGTTAAGAAAAAGAAAGCCAAGTTGGAAAGGAAGAAATGAAACCGTCACTATCAAGACATGATATTATATATAGAAAACACTGAAGACCCCACCAAAAAAAGCATTGGAATAAACGAATTCAGTCAAGTTGCAGGATATAAAGTTAATATACAGAAATCTGTTGTGTTTCTATACAATAATGAACTACCAGAACGAGAAATTAAAAAACAGTCTCATTTACAACTGCATCAAAAAGAATAAAAACCTAGGAATAAATTTAACCAAGGAAATGAGAGACTTGTATGCTGAAAACTATAAGACATTAATGAAAGGAAATGGAAGACACAAATAAATGGAAAGATATTTTGCCCTCATGGATTGGAAGAATAATGTTAAAATGTCTATACTACTCAAAGCAAACTATAGACTCAACGCAATCTATATCAAAATTCCAATGGCACATTTCACAGAAATAGAACAAACAAACCTAAAATTTGTATGGAGCTACAAAGGGCCTTAAATAGCCAAAGCAATCTTGAGAAAGAACAAAACTGGAGGCATCACATTCCCTGATTTCAAACTAAATTACAAAGCTGTAAATAATCAAAACAGTATGTTATTCACATAAAAACAGATACATAGATCAATGGAAAGACTAGAAAGCCCTGAAATAAACCTATGCATATATGGTCAATAAATTTATAACAAAAGATCCAAGAATATACAACGGGGAAAGGACAGTCACTCCAATAAATGGTGTTAGCACACCTGGACAGCCACATGCAAGTGAATGACACTGGTCCACTATCTTACAGCATACACAAAAAATTAACTTAAAATGCATTAAAGACTTGAACATAAGACCTGAAACCATGTAACTCTAGAAGAAAACATAAGTGGTAAGCTCCTTAACACCAGTCTTAGTGATGATTTTTTTTGGATCTGACACCAAAAGCAAAAGCAACAAACTCTCAAATAAGCTAAAAAGCTTCTGCAGAGCAAAGGAATCCAACAACAAAATGAAAAGGCAACCTACTGGATGAGAGAAAATATTTGCAATCATATCCTTTTTAAGGGATTAATATCCAAAATATACAAAGAAGTCCTATAACTCAATAGCAAAAACCAAAACCAAAACCAAACAAACAAAAAAACCCACACACACAAACAAAAAAACAAAACAATCTAAGGGCACTAGTTCCATTCATGAAAACTCCACTCTCATGATCTAATTAATCACCTTCCAAAGATCCTACCTCCTAAAAACATTAACTTGGACATTAGGTTTTCAACATATGGATTTTGGGGGACACAAACATGTAGACCACAGAAGAGGAATTAGACTCCACCTTTTAATGGGAGGGGTATCAAAGTTTCGCAACAGCATGTGGGATAAAAAAACACTGTTGTGGGTATTCCTCGAAAATATGCCGCAGAGGCTATATGAAGATGTAGAATCCTTATTCCCAGACATCTTTCAGTTATACATTTTATATCTGCCCTGTTAATTCTAAACATCTTTAGAGAAACTAATACATACTGCCTATTATGCACCAGGCACTGTTAAAGGCAGTATAATGTGTTTTTGCTATATTAAGATTATTCAATTCTGCTGTAAAAATTGAAAGAAACTAAGTGTGGGAGCAACTGGCTTGTAAAACATAAGAAGATTCATAAGATATGTTAAGTATAAACAGTAGAGGGGTGCCTGGGTGGCTCAGTTGGTTGTGTCTGACTCTTCATTTTGGCTGTTGTCGTGATCTCATGGTTCCTGAGATTAAGCCCAGGCTCTACACTGACAGTGTTGAGGCTGCTTGTGATTCTCTCTCTCTCCCCCTCTCTGCCCCTACCCTGCTCATTCACTCTTTCAAAATAAATTAAAAAGATTTTTTAAAAGGATAAATAGTAAATATGTTTTTAACCTATGAGGCATGTTACAGACAAAATATGTTGAACATAGATAAAAATAATGGAAGAAATGAATGTCACAGACAGAAATGGCTGGAAGGAAGGGCGCCTGAGTGGCTCAGTTGGTTAAGTATCCGATTTCAGCTCAGGTCATGATCTCACAGTTCATGGGTTCCAGCCCCTCATCAGGCTCTGTGCTGACAGCTCAGAGCCTGGAGCCTGCTTCTGTGTCTCCCTCTCTCTCTGCCCCTCCCCTGCTCATGTGTTGTTTGCCTCTCTCTCAAAAATAAATACAAATGTTAAAAAAAAATTTTTTTAAAGAAATGGCTGGAAGGAGTTAAGTAGATCTTAAATATTCCTAAGGTAAAGATCATGTCACTTCTAGATTGACAACTATCTTATCCCTAAATCAGCCACCAATTGGTGACATCCATTTTGGCCCCACAAGGGCTCTTCCCAAGAAACACAGATAAAACTCAGCTGATCAGCAGGTTAATTTCTGGCAAGTTACACCTGTGAGCAGGTCTACCTGCTCCCGCATCTTTCCAAAAGAGCACGTGTTGACTTCATCTTCTGTCTGTTGAGATCCCTTCCTAATCCTTAACTCTGTTCTTAATAACTTCACCACCCGTCAGGAAAGCTGATGCAGCAAGGCCAGGATATATGAACATTGAGGAACATTCAGATGTGGATGGTAAGGTCTTTCCTTCCACTCCTTCCCTTCCCCATACCCTGTTTTAAATAGGTTAGCTACCTCGTCTCTTTCCCCTTGATGTAGGTTTTAAATTAATAAACTGTGTAATTCAAGCAATTCAGTTTGACCTCAACCTTTCTGTTCCATGACCTCTAGGATGGCCTGATTAGTAGCATAAGTGTGCTTGGAAGCTACCACTGTAATTTCCCACCCCGTGAAGAGCTTTACAAGTGAAGTATTATTAAATTCACACAACAATCTTATTAGGAAGGAATTATTACTCTCATCCTACAGGTGAGGACACTGAGTCTCACAGAGGCTACGTAACTTGTCCAAGGTAGCACAGCTAATAAGTGGGGGAGCTAGAACTCATGCCCACGATGATATAGCTCCAGGATCCACTTTCTTTTTCACTAAGCTCATTCATTTTTGTATCTTCAATAGCAAATACGATGACTGACCTAAAGTAGACATATTGTTTGATAACCTTAATTAAATGATAGAATCCTTGCTCTTAATTTATTTGTCATATGGCCAATGAGAAATTATCTGAGCTCCTTAAGACTCGGGGGTGCCTCACAAAATTTAGCTATTATTTAAAGTCAATATATGTAAAAACTTTTCCTTAGCGCCTGACCCCTAGTAATTGCCTGAAAAAGGATACCCCTCATCCCCGACTCTAGGGCAGGTTTTAGAAAGAGCTGTCCGGGGTGGCTCAGTCCCTTAAGCTTCTGACTCTGGCTCAGGGCATGATCTCACGGTTTGTGGGTTCAAGCCCCACATCAGGCTCTGTGCTGACAGCTCGGAGCCTGGAGCCTGCCTCAGATTCTGAGTCTCCCTCTCTCTGCCCCTTCCCAGCTCATGCTCTCTCTTTCAAAAACAAATAGTAAACATGAAAGAAAGAAAGAAAGAAAGAACGAAAGAAAGAAAGGGCGAGCTGTGAGGCATTTTCCAAGCTTCATCTTCTATCCCATCTACCATACTCCACATGGCTATCCACAGAACAGGCGCATGTTCTTTGTGGTTCAAGGCTCCCTCCACATGTCAGCTTCAAGCTACTTCATCTCTTTTCACCTCGCCTTTATTTGCTAGACCAAACCATGCTTTCTTTCGGTCGTAGTTCTCAGATTCGTCCCCCTGAGAGATGGGCAGGAGTCCTTCAATCACACTGTCGTCGCTGTCAGCACAGCGCCTGCCGCCCACGCCCCGGGGAGGGGGAACCTCGTCTCCCCACTACTTCAACTTTTCAGCCTTGAAGATATCACTCAGGGAGGCGGGGCAGCCCGCCGCTCTCTAGTTAATCAACCCTAGTGAGGTCTCCGGAGGCCGCGCGGCTGCATCTGCAGGAGGAGGGGCACGGCTGTACCCGCCTCACGCCGAGGTCCCGAAGATCAAGGGACTGCCTCACCAACGCGCTCAGCATAACGCCCCCTTGGTGAGAGCCCAACAGCCGCTTCCAAACGCTCAGTTTGTTGAAACAATTTCACAGGGCTTCCACAACGTCTCCCCGAATTGAGTCCTTTTCCTCCTCCTCCTCCTCACTCTCAAGCCCCACCTACCCCATCCACAAACACACTTTTCCCTCAACCGCTTCTTTTCGGTTGCCGAAATACGAAACAAGACAGCCCTTCCTCCTCGTTAATTTTTTAACGGTGCGGTTTTCTTTTTAAGCCAATAGTGTGGCTTTGCCCAACACCGCTTCACACACGAATAGCGTTTGCTCCTCATCTCCTCCAGCGAGTGGTCTTACCGCCCCCCTCCCCCCGGCAGTCTAAAGACAGGCCGACTTAGCGCGACATACCGTGTTTCTGAGGCAAGGCGAGAGCTAGCTGGAGAATCCGGACCGGGAGAGGCAACCAGGCGCGTCGGGGCACCTCCGGGACCAGGGAGTAGAGCCCGGACCCCGCCAGGCGGGCGGGGCCGAAAGCCGCAGGCCGAATCCCTCACGCCGCGAGCGAGTAGGCGAGGCCCGCGGGTTCCGGGCTGGTTCTGCTGGGGGCCGGCGGGAGGCGGAGCCGGGAGGTCGGTGGGCGGGGCCTCCTGGAGCGGGCGGGGCCTCGAGACGGGGGAGGCGGGGACGGCAGGCGCTGGGAGTCCCTCACTGGGCAGGCGGGAGGCGGGGTCCGCGCAACGGTTGGTGCGGGGTTGGTCGAGGCCGAGAGATGTCCGCAGGCCGCAAGCGAGAGGCGGGGCCGGCCGGAGTAGGCGGGTCCCTGAGGCCCGGAGGCCGGGCCAGGCGGGTGCAGGGGGAGTTGTTCAATCGGCCGGCGAGAAAGCGGAGCCGACGGGAGTGGGAGGGGTCTGTGCAGCAGGAGGCGGGGCGGACTCAGTGGGCCAGTGGGCCACCTGGGTCCTGTCAGAGTTGGAGGTGGTCCGCTGCTCTTGGTTCCTTCAGCTCCCGTAGCTCTGGCGGAATCTGCGCGATGGGTGACCCGGAAAGGCCGGAAGCGTCCAGGCCCGAGCTGGGTGAGGTAAATGTTGCTGCCGTTCCCTGTCCCGCCCCACAGTCACGCCTGGCCTTTAGGTTGCAAATTGCAGCGGGGACCTGCAAGGTGCAGGACAGCTGTAGGAAATTTTACCCATTGTGGTCGGCAATCCGGTGCAGGCCCGGCCGCGAGCCCTCGCCGCAGCCTGGTTTCGTGGTTGTGAGTGCCCGGGAGGCCGTCCCAGGGGAGGAGTGAAGAGGGAGCCGGGTTTCTGCTCCGCTGCTCTGCTCCGGAGCCAGCCAAGGGCAACGCTCTGAGGTTTCAGGCCAGGCCGAGGAGCCCCACCCCCCAATCCTTGCATGTCTGGAGCCCTGGCTAAGGAAACCCAGGCAAGGAACGAAGACAGGTAGATCTACTGGAGAAATGCATCCCATCTCTGGTATGGTTAAAAGGAGTGGGAGGACGCATGCAGAAATTGACACAGGTGGATGGGGTGGTGATGATAAGTAGAAGGGCGACGCGAAATCCTCACAATGAAAAACCTCAGGTTGGGAGGCCAGATTTGCTCAGACTGGGCCACTTAACTAGCTGTGACTCTATGAGGTGTCAGTTTCCATTTATACAGTGGAAGTGATACTTCTCTCACAGAGGATTAAGTAAAAGGCTTTATGCAAAGTGCCAGGGAAATTGTGGGTGCCTCACAAAACCTAAGTTAACATGTTTATCTTCTGCTTCTATAATAAAAGTACATAATAACAGTAAATCTATTAGACTGTTGTAGGGTAGTTAAAATTGTTGCTTTATAATTTTTGTACCCTGTTACTTTACAAATACTTGTAAACCATTTGTGTCCAAGAGAAATAACTTTTTGCATTTATCTTGAACCTGTTGCTGTGTGTGGTATCTTCAAGTTTCAGCTTACAGAGACTCATACTTCGCCCTACATTTCTTTAGAAAGTTGTAGAGTCCAGATTTGGGGTTTTATTTTATTTGATTTTGATTTTGTAAACAGTAACTAATTCACAACTTGTAAATATTCCTTAAACTCTTTCTTGTCCCTTTGAAACAAATACATTGAGTACCAATATCCCCACTCCAAAAGGACAATTCAGGGTTTTCTTTTTGTGCTAATGGCACCAGCAATGATTCAGACTTAACACCTAGAAGTTAACTTTTGTTTATTATCCCTTTCTCAATGACACAGGCCCACAAAGACAGAAGCAGAACTTTAGCTCTGGAATGAATTCTAGTGAGCATCTGGTCCAAAAGTTTTTAACTTGAGATGCCGGGATGCCTTAAGCACTCTGTTTCTCTAGATATGATGGTGTAGCATGGGCCACCTGCATTAGAATAAACTGGAGTTGTAAAAAGTATAAATTACAGGGCCTACATTCCAGACACAGTAAATCAAAATCTCTTAGGATGGATTTGGGCCTGCATTTTTAACAAGTACTTCAGGTGATTCTGGTTCACATATTTTAAGAAACACTGCCTTAAAGCATTCATAGATGGGCTTGCAGGGGGTTTATGAATCAATCTCCTGGAGTTTATAGATTTTGTATGTGCATATATGAATCTCCTGAGAAAGAGGTCCTTGGCTTTCATCAATTTCTCAAAGTGAACTATCATTAATCCAATTGATAGTACTGTTTTCAAGGTAAGAAAGTTTAGGCCAGAAAAGGTAAATGACATACCCAGGACCATATGACTGAATAGTGGATCAGGGCTTAAAACCAAGTTCTTGCTTGTGGGCCAGTATTCTGTTTTGTCAGATCTGGTGGGAATAGAAAAATGAAAATGAAAGTGACACCTGGGCAAATACAAATAGTATATGACTACATCAGCATCCAAATAGTTGTCTTCACTCAATCTTCTCCAGGCCAAGGCAAACAAGTGAAAGTGGTGGGATTGGGGCTGTTTGGGAGGGAGGGGCCTGATAGCATGCCAGCCTAGACCAGTGAATGGTGAGGACTAGCTGGGGAATCTGCCCTGGCATGTCCTGTT